GCTCCTGCCCAGGCCCAGCAACGAAGGCATCCTGCTCGATCCTTATCGCTCGGAAGCGAGCGTGCAACGTCTGCCACGCACTCAGCGGCAGGATCCGAAAATCGCCCGCCAGGGCGACTGGGTGGCTCTCCGAATTTTCGGCCGCGACTTCGGGCTTTGCTTCGTCTGCTGCATCTCCTGCGCCGCTGCTGCTGCGTCGGAACACTGTCCGCACCTTCTGCCAGGCGCCGCCCACCAATCCACGGAATCTCGTGGGTCTCGGCTGAACCTCCTCGACCTCACCAGAGAGCCCCCCACAGACAGCAGGGGGAGCTATGCAAGTCTGAGCCAAAGACAGCCCTGATTATTGTCTGATTTCTGACTTGGCTTCGGACTGCTTCGGATCCACGAGGCTTGGATGCTTCCAGCTCCTGTGGCAGGAGCATGGCAGTGGGCTCACTGCAAGTTGTCGGTCTGCCATGGTCTGCTAAGCGTGCGCTCCTTGCGCCCGGATCTTTCGCGGCCGAGAAGCCGCGGGTCAGCTCCGCGCTGGATTGACGACATTGGGCTAGCCGGGGCTACGATCAAACGGACCTCAGCACCCTGGTGCCCAGTTCTCTGATCAGTGCTTCACGTGCTGCTTCGGCACATGTGCCGTTGAGAGCTGAAAGAGCGGCGAGGCACGTTGCTCAGTCTCGAAGAGCATCTTGCAGACTGCGCAGGCCAAGGCCAGGACTCAGAGACACCTCTCCCGAAGCGCCGGCGTGGCAGCCGCGTCGAGTCCTCCACTATGAGACGCTATGAAAGGGTGAGACATGAAGCGGAGCTGCTGTTCGAAACAGTTTGAGTTGCAGCCAAATTCAGCAAGAAAACGGTCGCCACACAATGAACTGGCCTAAATGGTCCAAAGTATGGGATGTTGCTGCCCACGCGGCTCGATGGAGACAGCACTACAAACCTTCTGCGCTCTTTGAGCCACTTGGTCACCGCAAGTGTGCCTATGGACATGCTCTTTTCGCAGAGTCCCGCCTCACACTGCAGCTGCATTGAGCAGATGTTGCAACGGCTTATACGGGCGCAGCACCAGTGCTACAAACGCGGTCACCTGAAACCGACAAGGCACCCTGTGTTCTCCTTAGCGAACATGAGAGGGATGCTGGTTTTGGTGTCGTGCGCAACTGGCTCCTGAGCGTCAGACAGACATGCAGACCCACGGCAGCGTACCACCGACAATACTAGAAGCAGGTGACCGGCACGCAGCGGAAAACAAGCGCCGTTCCGGGGACTCAGCAAAAACCACACACACGCACACAGAGTTCAGGAGTCTGCGACATTTGAAATCTTCTTGGTGCTTCAACCCCTCCTAAAGATCAGAGCGGTCCTCCGGAGCCCGAGATCGAACAGCGCGTTCATGGCGACCAAAAGTGGCAGCCTGGCACAGCATCCGAGGGTTCACGGCTCAGGACTGAAGGCCAACATCAAACTGCCAATCTTTGAAGGCGGAAGTGTCGGTATCATTGTGCTCGATCTAGTTTACGTTTCGTTGTGATGCTTTACAACTCGAGCACCCGCGTGATAGTCGTTTTTCTGATTCTCGTTCATTCGTGCTTCTACATGTGCCTTCCCCCAAAGCCTACCCGACCAGCGACCATTAGGCTCCAAGAAAGACCGAAAGAACCAGAGCCTCATTCGGAACTCATGTGAACTCCGTCCCTGGGCCTGGCATCTGCTGAGGATTGAGTGTTTGAGTCTCGGATCCTTTGGGCACTCTGTCGGGAATATCGAAGACCAGCTGCGCACCAGACGTTCTGAAACTCACATGCGGAAATCTCGCTGATATCTTGAAGGCCTCGGGCAAGGCCGATCGGCACTGCGCTGTAGACTCTTTCCCGAGAGGAGCAGAACCTCATCGACCTCGGTTCTGTGAAGTTTGAGTTCCGACGGAAGGCTTCGAGGCAGTGCGAACAGGTTTATTTCAGACGGGATTATTCAATTGCTCGAAGCCTTGCCCCAAGCACCAAATACCATCAGCACGCTCCAGACGTTTCTCCGTTCGAACCAATCAGCGCACGCGGGCGCAGCAAAGGTTCTGCTGCACGGTGACGCAGAAGGCAAGCCACCAGTCGCTCTCCGGCGACGGTGACGCTTCGGTTGAAGCCTCCGCATCGGGGTGACTAGGCATAACATAATGTGAGCCAACGAGAAAAGCTGAAGCTGTGTTTCTACCGGGCTAATTAGGCACGCTAAGCTTCCGAGCTTGGAATTTGCGGCGAGTTCAGAGCATGAAGGATCATGCCGAAGGAACCAGAAGACCTGTTAAATCATTGAAAACGTTTCTCTGTCACTGCATGACAACCTGTGTCAAGGAAATTTCCGCGCCGACACCTTTCAACGGGCAGCGCCATCAGAAGCCCGCGCCCCCTCCACCCCCCCTCGGCCCAGCTTGCCTCCACAGAGGAGGGAGCGCGTGCGGTGGCCTCTGGAGTGGGCTGACCTCACAGCTTGGAGCGTGTCAGCTTGAAGTGTTCGAGCTCGTCAGGTTCAGGCTTCGACACGACAGATCTGCATTTCTCAACACCAGATCCCTGCCCATCCGGCCTTCCTGCGTGCTTTGTGTCTTGTCCTTAAGCTTCTCGGGAGGCAGCTCCTGCCCAGTGAACGGATTAGTTCTGCCGTCTGTGTGTGTAAAGGTAGTTCAAGCTCCCTAGGTGTTCCCCACCAACAACTGAAGATGGCTGGACAACTCAAACTAAGACACCAAAACAGCCATCTAGTGATATAATCAGTGATGCCAATGCCCACGCGTTGGAGCCTCCAATGCCTCGTCTCCACAGTCGCTCCCAAAATGCACACCGGTGTCAAGGCCGTAACGAGATCCCCACTGAAACACACTGCAGCGCGAGATCTTTTGCCAGGGTATGGAACTACCAAACTCGGTCTATGACTCCCCAACACCAGATCCCTGCCCATCCGGCCTTCCTGCGGGCTTGGCGTCTTGTCCTTAAGCTTCTCGGAGGGCATCTCCTGCCCAGTGAACGGATTAGTTCTGCCGTCTGTGTGTGTAAAGGTAGTTCAAGCTCCCTAGGTGTTCCCCACCAACAACTGAAGATGGCTGGACAACTCAAACTAAGACACTAAAACAGCCATCTAGTGATATAATCAGTGATGCCAATGCCCACGCGTTGGAGCCTCCAATGCCTCGTCTCCACAGTCGCTCCACCAACACAAAAAGAGCGGCCTCTG